ACTCACGCGCATCTTTCTCACTGCCGCTTCATTCCCATGGAAGCCAATCCCCGTGTTTCCCAATGAACCCATCTGAACTTCCTATAACAAACCCACAAAAAAAATAACTCAAACCCATAAACCATATGCATATGTGTGTAGGGTATGCATATGTGTATGGTAGGCGGCTATTAGAGTGAGAGAGGGGAGAGAGAATAAAGAGGCGGCCCAGTTGGAAAAACAAAAAGATGGACCAGTCGCCGGCAGTGACCAATTCCGATGAACCCATCTGAGCAAGAGAGGAAAGTATTGTGTGCGAATAGCACCGTCGATTCCTCGGGCCGCCCCTACTCTTCCTCCAGACCATCCGTTGGCAGAGAGCTGAGAGGATTGAAAGTGAGATGAGAGAGTAAAGCTGAGATGAAGAAAGGGAAAACAACCTCGCCAATTGGACCAATCTAGTATTGACACATGCTGTCGATTTTTTCCCGGGTGAATATTAGTCGTCAAAATTAGCATTTTTCTTAATTAATACATTTTTTAAATATATATATATATATATATCTCACAGATCGGATTAGATGGGACTTATGGATCAGATCGAATTTTTAACAGTCTAATCCGTGATCTGATCCGTGAGTTACAAATTTGATTTTTTTGAGTTCGTTATCGATCCGTGGGTGTAACAATCTGATCCGATTGAACCGGATCGGATCGGATTCGCAGATTCATGAATTATTTGCTCACCTCTAGTACGTATGTATTTTAATTAATTAACAAGCCCACTTAAATTTTATTCTTCACAGGATTACTTGAGCACGTGCGTGGCCTTACAAGACCTTTCAATTAGACCTATCAATGAATCAGATACGGACTGGATCATGGTTGATCCGATCCTAATCCGATAAGTATGACATATTATCCGATCCAATAATACGACGGATTTTCAATTGACGAATCCATATCCGATACATATTTAATCGAATGTCTAATCAGATAATCCAATTTGATTAAATTACACACTTTTGCACAAATCGATCAATTAGGGCCAACAAATTCCTCATTCTACTCAAAAACCAAAACAAAATCTCAAGTTCACTAACAATATGTTTAAAAGAAATTATTTGAAGGTAGAACAAAGAGTATTACAATTTTTTTGTACGAGTGAAAGAATATCACTTGATTTTGTATTGTTTGTTAAAGAAATAAAATCATAATAAAAAGTGGGAAGAATAAGATGATGATAAGGAGAGAGAAAAAAGAAAAAAGAAAATGAAATAACTACTCACTGAACAAGGTTCCGACTGATTAAGTTTTGAAAGAAAGAAAATTAGGTTAGTGGAAAAGAAGAGAAGGAAAATGAGAGATTAGAGAATGCCCCTACCACACTCCAACTTGGTAGTTTCCACCGCCTGTCCAGGGTTAAGCCTTGGGATTTGACGGCTGACTTAAAAAGCCACCTACAGACGCTTTACACCCAATCATTCCGAATAATGCTTGCATCCTCTGTATTATCGCGACTGCTAGCATGGAGTTAGCCGATGCTTATTCCCCAGATACCGTCGTTACTTCTTCTCCGGAAAAAGAAGTTCACAACTTGTGGGCCTTTTACCTCCATGCGGCATTAATCCGTACAAACAAAATGCTCAATGAACAGTATTCGAAATTACTTTCTCTGTCTCAAAATAAGTATTTATTTTCGTGAATCTAACATTTTAAGAGAATATATTCTCTTAAAATGTTAGATTCACGAAAATAAATACTTATTTTGAGACAGAGAAAGTAATTTCGATTATCAAATTTATCAATGAAAGTAAGTTAAATTGTTAATATTATAAAAAATAAAAAATAAAATAGTGCATTGACTTTTCAAATAGAACACTTATTTTGCAATGGATAAAAATGAAATAGTAAACATTTTGGGGATAAGTTAATACAAAATTAAATTATCTCTATATATACATATTTTAAATAATATGATTTAAATAATTATTTCATAAGTTAATAAAGTCAAATTTGTTAATCTTGTTATACATGGGAGCATTTTTAGAATTTCAAAGTTAATTGGAGTAAAGAGCCAATTAATAATATAATGGGTCAAACTAATTTTATACAGAGTACAAACTTATTTTTTTTAATATTTTATATATTAAAAGATTATATAGAATAGGGTAAAGTGCAAAAAACCCTCCTGAACTATGGGGTTTTTGCAACTAACCCTCCGAAACTACAAGAAACCCCCCTGAACTTTTAATTTGTTGCAATTTGCCCACTCAGGCCACCGAAAAGGAAAAAGACAGAACTACCCTTCCAATATTCTTATAATATCAAATTAACCAATAATGGCTGATATTTATGTATTTTATAATTAATATATAATGGCTTCATATATTTTATAATTAATATATAATGGCTTCTAATTGTGCTTTGGCTTCCTCAAATTTGGCGTCTAATCTAGCTCTGGTGAGCTCTCTTCGCGACATTGCCGGCAAACCAACCTTACTCAAAGACCCACATGACTCATAGACCCAATCAGCAAGATAATCAAGTGCATAATCAATCTGGGTCTTGCTTATGGTGGTGGTCGTGCTGCGAAACAGAGGAAGGCTAAACCAGATGAGGCATAGAAATTGACGAAATTGGTGAAAGTGGTGAAATGGGTTTCGGAAAATGATGGCCGAGCTTCTTCATAACAGCCTATCATCGGAATCAGCCATCTCCACCGGCCGAGCACATTGCCGTCCGTGTTCTGAGCACCGCCATAACCTTACCGCTAAGCTTCGCCTCATCCGCTGACCTCTCCAAACCCTAACCTCAGTGGGTCTGGCTGATTTCTCTACAGCCAAACTCATCACAGCCAAGCGACCTCTCCAAACCCTAACCTCAGTGGGTCTCACCGATTTCTCCACAGCCTAAACTCGTTAAAGCCAAGCGACATCTCCAAACCCTAACCTTAGTAGGTCTTGCCGGAATTTGTTTGACCGGTAAGTTCAGTTACAGCGCCGCCAACCTTTTTGTTCATCGCCGGTGAGGTTCATTCCGAGTCACATGTGCTCATCGTTGAATCTTTGCTTCCTCGCCATTTCTAGCTCGCCGTAAGCCCTTTTTACTGCCTTATTGGGCATCCTCACGATCTCGCTGACATTTTCGTCGTCACTGTGGTCGTCGGTCCATTTTTGGTGGCTCATTCATGCCGTCCTCTCCACTGTGCTAACTGGAGTCATTTCGTCAAGCTCGCTGCCATTGTCGGCCACACCTAGCTTGTGTGTTCATCGGTAAATTCTTGTGCCACTATCCTCTATCCTCGTTGGCGCCGTTTCTGGGTTTGTCAGTAGCACAATGGGAAATTTGGTTAAAAGCCGTGTTTGGCTTTGTTGCTAATTTTAAGGGTATTCTTGTCCTTTCATGCTTATAAGGGCAGTATGGTCTTTTAAAATATTTTAACAAATTTTAACGTTCAATTCTCACCGAATCTTGGCCGGATGGGGTGATCTGCAATTTTTTTGCATAATTTAGGGGGTTTTTTGCAATTTTAGTAGTTCAGGGAATTAGTTGCAAATTTCTTCAAAGTTTAGAGGGGTTTTTTGCACTTTACCCATTAATGCCTAGCATGGTTATCAAAATCGCGATTCTGAGTCGTAGAATCGCACGATTCTACGACTCAGAACTCAAAATCGAGTCAAATCGCAGCAGAATCGTTTAAGTGGTAGAATCGGGGGTAAAATCGGTAGAATCGGAGGTAAAATCGTAGAATCGGAGGTAGAATCGTACGAGTCTACACGATTCTACCGATTCTATAAAATTGGTTGTTTGGGCCTTCAATTTTGGGCTTTTTTTTTTTATTTTTTTGTTGGTTTGGTTACAAAATAAAAGAGGTCTGGCCCAAGTATAGTATACAAAGTTAAATATTTATTCTATAAAATATAAATTATTTTTCATTAGTAGCAAAAAAAGATATATATATATATATGTATATATATATATATATGTATATATATCAATTATTTTTACCATGCATGTGGATGTTCCATAATATATTTTTGTGTTTAATTATAAAAAATTAAAATGATCAATTATATCTTAAGGATGCATACTCGTGACTAACAGGTTTAGACAAATTTTAGTTTCATGATCAATATTTTCATTTGACTAATTTTTTTTTTTTGAAGGCTTATCATATATATTAAAAATTAAAAATAATTTAAAAACTTAAAAGACTTGCCGGATATGTCAGCCAAGGTATAATCTTGTAGTCTAAACTGATAATATAATGAGATCGAGTTAACACGTGGTTCTTTAATTTTGTTGTGCTAACTCTTGATTAATTTCATACTTGTGACTAATAAGGTCACATATATCGTAACACTTGGATTGGTGGACAAAAAGGTCTTTTTATTTCTTCACTTTTTGAAGGAAAAAAAAAAAAAAAGAAGTTAGTCACTTTTTGGAGATGGATGAGTAAAGATTTGAGATTTGTAAACTCATATTATTTTGAACTACATTCTCTTTTATTTATATTCGGACTTTAAAATATTGTTAGGATTTGAGATTTGTGAACTCATGTATATATAATATTATGTGTTTTGGCCTCATTTTTGTTATATTTTATGGATCTTATTATTTAAGAAGTTAGTTTCAATTATTTTTTCACAATTTGATAGAATCTTACGATTTACAATCCGATTCTACGATTCCGATTCTACAGAGCCCAAAACGATTTTGTGTAGAATCCCGATTTTAACAACCTTAATGCCTAGTAATTCAATTGATTAATATTTTCGATGAACTCTCTAGTGTTAAATTTAAACTTTCTGTGTCTACTAAATTTAACTACCAAATCTAATAAAATTCTCATTGAGACTTCCTTGCTTCGGAGGGTTACTCATGTTTCCCCTCGTGCCACGCACGTGCAACATATCCAAAACTCGACACGTGTAAAGTTCTTTCGACCAGCGTCACGTGATCCTGTCTCCTGCATTAAAGGTCAGCCTCACATCTTTTTCAAAGAAATTTCACTACTTTCTCTCTCTACAGAAATTCTGCCCCCCCTCCCCCTTCCTTCGCCCTCAAGCTATCCGCTTCTTGTGATCCTTCTCTTGCTTCAGACAACAAATTCGAAGTAATTCAGCATTGACATTCTTCGGATCTTTGAATTTCTTCTGGTCTCTCAGGTGAGCATCATACCTCGAACAGAGTCAACTCTATATTTTTCAATTAGCCAGAATTTTTTTCCATCTTGATCATCTAGTTCTCTAAAAAATGTCTGATTCTGATGAATTTTTTTATTTCTTTCTTTTTTGGGGCATAAAGTTTCTTTCTTTTCTGGTTCGTGTGTTGAATTTCGGAATTATTGAGTGGAATTGTTTTGTTGATTTGGGGTTTGATGGTTTGTGTTGTAGTTGTAGCTGTGAAGGTGAATTTTTGGGCTCTTTTCGGGTAAATTAGCGTACTTCTTAAAAGGGTTTTGTTGATTCAAAAACTTGGAGGTCAAGGTCTCATGAGAATTGTTAGGGTAATGCACAGATCGATTCGCGAGAATGGCAAGAGCAAATCACTCAGTCGAGGGATTGCTCCTAAGGCAAGGACACGGAACAAATTGAAAACTAGGGTTTTTTACCTCTGAACTTGGCTTCTTTGAGAAGAATTTGGGCTAGGGTTTCAAGTTGAAGAAGAGGAAAGATGACCCGAATTTTGGTTCAGCGAGGTTCTGCTGGCTCATCCACCAACCCGAACAGGTCTTCATTGCTACCTGGTTCTTCTTCGGCTCAGTCCCAGCCTCAGGTCTCTACTACTCTGGTTGCATCAGCTGTGAAAGATGAGGAATTGGGAGTGGAAGTGCAAGAGCAAGTTGTGGATGATCTTCCGGAGTTTTTTTGTTATGGTGCTGAAAATAATGCAGCAAAGACTGGTGATGTTTTACCTGAAGCCTTGCAGAATGATCGGAATGATGATGATGATGCTGGTAGTGAGGAAGGTGGTACATCTGATTTTTTGGGTTCAGGTGATTTAGTGGAACAGTTGGGTAATTTGCAAATCACAGAACAATTTCAGGACCAAAATGAGGGATTGAGGGGTGGTTCATCACAGATGGGTTGTGGAAATTCATATCCCCCGATACCGCCTCCTCTCCCACCTCGGAAACCTTCTTCAGAAAATTCAAATTCAAGGAGAGTTGTATCTGGGAGTTTGAATGCTGTGTGGCTTGGATCATCTAGAAGAGCAGCTGCCTGGCCCATTGTTTCAACTAGGAACTCACCAACTGGGTCTCGGCCTTCGTCTCCCGGGTCTCACTGTGAGAGTGAGGGTTACAATAGTGCTGACGAGCAGAGTCCTTCCTTTGGTTCCTCCTATGATGATGCAGTAATTTCTCATCCCAAACCCTTGAACTCGCATTTTATTAAATTTTTGTTCACTTTACCATATTTTCAGTCTGCATGGAATTGTTTGGAATTTGATTTGTCTCTCTCTATTGGTTGATGGCTATGATTAGTTCACTAGCTTGCTAAATATTATATGTAATGGTACATATGAGTCATACTCATAACAAGCTACAATCTTTCTTTCTTAAGGGAAAAAGAAGAAGAAAAACTCTTAATTGCATCATTCATTCAGTTGCAATTACATTGATTTTATTATTGTCATATTATTTTTATTGCTTTTATTTTTTACATAATCTTAAATAATTACATTTCTGATAAAGCTACAGTATCTGCAATGTGAAGATCCAAATTCTCTCCATTTTGACTCCAATTAATGTTTATCTATCATAAGAAGATCGAAATTCTTGTTTGGGCTAGCTTGTTAAAGAATCTTATATGGGTAACTTGTTAATACTTGCATGGTTCTTTATTTTGCAAAACAATGTAGTCCTTGTGATCTCATCTCGTGTGGAAGTCTCAAACCAAACCTTAATGTTTTTATTTTTGCCATCCTATTGCCTTCATCAAATTCAGTATTGTGAAATTGATTTGTTCCGTGTTTCAGGAGAGAGAACGCCAGTTTGAAAATGATATAAAACGGACAAAAGGTCTGGATGTCAAACGAATGCTGCAAGATGGAAACTGCCTTTTTCGTGCAGTTGCAGATCAGGTGTATGGGGATTCTGAGGCCTATGATCTGATTAGACAAATGTGTATGGATTATATGGTATGCATATTCTTCTGTGAACACTCATTGTTTGAATCTGTATCCTTAATCTTTATAATTTTGTAGGGTAAGATCTCTTTTTGGAACTTTATAGGTCCTGTGCATTCAGTCAGTCTAAGGGATGCAACCCTTTAGCCTGTTGCTTTGCATATAACTTGATTCACCCCTGCAAAAGGAGCATGCTAGTTTGTTTTGGAACTTCACCACCCCCCACCCCACCCCACCCCACCACCCCACACCCGAGGAAAAGATAATAAGTATTAAAACAAAAAGTTGTGAAGGACCATGGATTTGTTTCATCTTCAGGACATGATTGATAATGTGCCATCTTGTGGGAAAATCTAGAGTATATTTCCTTGGACCATTCTTCATTAGGAAAGTAAGAATGATTTGTGGTAGCTGTTGAACTTCATGATCCATTAACTTTTTTATTGATTGGTTGAGCTGTATTGAATTATCAATAATTGAATTTTCTAATCACCATGATCTTATTATACTGTTATTTTTGGTGTGCCATGTTTTGACATTTTTATTTCCCCAGTAAGTCGGGAAATGTATACATTCTTTATGGTCCCATAAAACACACTAAAACCACAACTTAGTTCAAGGGGAATATAAATGCCTTCCAAATAGTTGGGATATTATGTTACCTCGTTTAGTTAGTCAATTGTGACCCTTCATCTGGTATTTTAGTGCATACTTGTAATACACTTTTATTGTTAAAGAATGTTCCAATTTTTCATGCGAATTATGCCCATAATGCCTAGAACAACTGAACCTCCCTAGCTCAGATGATACTATTTGAGTCCGTGTACTGTGATTTGTTGAGCTAAGAATGTTTTCTTTCAAGCCCTCAAGTAGAGCTAAAATTTTCAAATTCATATTGGGGCTAGGTTACCTAGAGAACAACCACCAACATTATACTTGATTCTACCTAAAGGTGCCAGACTTTGGAATAAACAAACCGAGGGCCAATTATCCACAGTAAAAGTTGGAGTCGTCCCATGAATTCTCAAGTCACTAAGATCCTACATAGAAGCTAAAAGGAAATTCAAGTTATAAGCATACTTTTTAATGATTTCATTCATCTCTCTTGAACCAAATCACCTAAATGACCCATGTACTGCACAAAATGGAACTAGACATAAAATTTGGTTCTTCCACATAAATACCCATCCATTTTGGGGTAACATAGGGCCAGATATCATGGGAATATAAAGTGGGAGTAGCATGTTAGTTTGAAAGTATAGTTGGTAAATGCTCATATTAATGGGTCACCTATGCGCATATATAAAAATAAATAATAAAAAAAATCCTCTGCTTAAACCCTCCCCCCCTCCCTTTATAAGCGGAACCATATAATGTGTGTGTGTGTGTGTGTATAGAACGCACATTTTTTTGTATTACACTTATTCAAAAAATTTAGTCGCAATTCTTTTTTTTAAGAGATTTCTATTTTCCAGACTCACCTTATATGAAAAATAATTGATTCTCCAAGTACTCTGTAACTGCTACAAGAATTAGTGAGCGTCCCAAATCTCTTATGCTCACCCCCTGACAGCAAAGCCCATATCTTTTAGTAATGTTCATATTACTTCTATATCCTTCAACCACTCATTACTCTTATGAGTTTTAGGCATTCACATTTCAAGATATCTTTGAAATTTTGTCTGCGACTTTTGTGCATGTAGTGGGATTACTCATGTGGCATTCTTTTTAAGGTGTGTGGACGGAGGAGGTTTAGATCTGTATTTTAATTCTAGAAGCTCTTTTTATCACCAAGTTTTCCATACCAATTGACCATTTCATAGTGGGCGTACTTTATAATTCAAGTTTGATTATTGACTTGCTGAATGACAATCATGGTACCCTTGGCGCTCTTTTAGATTTCAATTTCTTAAACTTTTTTTTCTAGGTAGTGAAAATACTATTAATCTTTGTAGTAAACTGGACGGTTGTTATTCAATGTGATGCCTTCCCCAGACTATCTCACTCTCTCTCCCGCTCTTGTATGCATGTGTTCTCACTTCTGGTTTCTTGCTTACTACCTTAATGGAATTCTTTTGTTCAAAATAAGTTCTCAAGTTACAGTAGTGTTTTTTTTTAATCATATTTGGTTTGCTTGCTTGCACATCATCCTATAAGCTCGTCATTTGTAAGGCATGTCTAGTCCTTGGAAATTTTGGTGGTTCTATGTCATAATTTTGTGGATGTGCCATTTTAGTATTATTGGACCTTCCATCCTGTTGTGAAACCATTTTTCTTGAATTTCTGTGCTTCGAAAACTAATAGTTTCATGGTGAAGCATAAATAATAGCTATTTGTTTTTGTTAATACAGGAGCGGGAGAGAGACCACTTCTCTCAATTTATAACAGAAGGTTTCACATCCTATTGCAAGAGGAAGAGAAGGGATAAGGTATGTGATATTGTAATTTTGGTGTGCTGTTGTTTCCTTCTATGTGGTACTTCTGTATCTCAGTGACTCGGTCATGTCGTAATGATCTCAGCCAAGTCCGAGTCCGAGTCCGTTACTCACTGATATATTGGTGAGAATCAGAATCACCCGGAGTCCCTAGATACTTGGGAGTCTGCACATCTGATGATATACGAGGTCAATAAAAGTTCATGGTTGTGATAACGGATTCCAGTATGCTACGCCCAATACTGACTCGCATCCACTACACCGCTCCCGCATCTTTCATTAATGAAATGCCTAAGCGTTTGCTAATTGACTTCAGTGGAGAGCTTATTGGATTCATTATGCATATTTATCAATTTAAAATCTGTCCTACATTTTGTTTCAATTCACCTGATGGCATTAATTTATTTTTATGGCAACTAGCACTTAAAATAGTACCATAGTTTACTTCTTGTTGAATGTTAATATTCCATATTCTCGGCTGAGTTTTCTTTATAAGAACTTTTGTTTTGGGGGCCAAACTAGCTTTATGTACTTGGAATTTTAGAAGTTAACTGTAAAGTATTTTTATTAGCATATGCGGTGTATTAATAATATATTATAACGGGCTTTTATTTTTCTATTCAGGTTTTGGTTTGTTTGAACTGGATTAAAGGGCCCAAGTTGAAATATTTTACAAGCTTGGGGGTGGGGGCCACTTAATTACTCTATAGACGTGGGTTTGGTGGCCAACAGATATATATTTTTTTCTCAAACTCACTACAAAGAAAGGGCCATTACTAAAACACTTTGAATTTATTCTGCCCCTGTAGACTGACACGCTGTTATTCATGTGCTATTGTAAAGTTCAGTTTTAAATTTGTGCCATTGGCTCGTGGCAATATTTTTGTAGAATACTAATTTGGCCATTCTTCTACACAGATGAGTTTAAATGATGACCAATTTGGACAAATGATAAATATACATATTTATCAAAAAAAAAATTGGACAATGATGAATATACTGCATAAATTAGTTTTGTTGCAAGTACAATTGTCCAAGATGTAGCATGCTAATGATGCTGCTAGTAAATGGTTGTGTGGTTGAGAGAAGAGGGGATTTATAAAGGTTTCTTAAAGCATCAATCATCAAATTGCTGGACCTCAAAGTTTGTTTTGGGATTAAATTTTATTAAGCTGTTGCTTTGTGATGGTCCAAAGCAGATAAAAGATGTGGCATTTCACAGTTCTGTTATTGTATGAATTACAGCTAGACAGAAGAATCCCAAAGACAAGCCCCTCCCCCTCTATCTGTTCCTCTCCTCCTTTCTTTAATGGTGTTATGTATTGTTCTTTTCTCTTTTCCTTTACTGTCTTGTTAGTATAACTTTTTTACTGATTTTTTAGCATCAGTCTTTACATGGAAGATTTGTGCTTGTTTCTTATTTTTGTTTTTTGTTACTTGTCTTAGAGCCCATTAGTAATTTGACCTGGCTTGTGTTTGATATCATGTTTCTTGTCCTTGAAATCATGATTTATTTATTTATAAATCTAATTGGTGGCAGGTCTATGGAAACAATGTGGAGATCCAAGCTTTATCTGAGATGTATAATCGGCCTATCCATATTTATTCCTATAGCACAGGTCCTGCTCTAAGTTAGGTTATGGATGCACCTGTAATGAATGAGTTTTTGCTTTCTCACCGTTCTACTGCAGCACTGCTCTCATTTATGAAATCAATGGTTGCAGAACCTATCAACATTTTCCATGGAAGCTATAATACTGACACACCTCCTGTAAGACTAAGTTATCATCATGGGAATCATTATAACTCACTCGTTGACCCGCGACGACTGACAATTGGTGCTGGACTTGGATTTAGCTCTCTACAAGGGGTGAGTTGGTTTCCTATTTATTATCCTTGTCTTGGTTAGTGTTATCTTTACGTGATAACTAAATTTTAAGGAAGAACTGAGCAATAGAAGGTTCAACTTGTATTCCAAAAATTCCTTTTAAGAAAACCTGACATAGCCAGCTGACTCGTCAACAGTGGATCAAACCAACTAGTTTTTTCCAAACTGCCTGCTATGACTACCAGTGGACAGGATTTATTTTGTTTATGCTTATTGGTCTAATGTGTAGTTTAATATTACTGCAGTTATTCTTTATATGATCACTTTTATCTTCTATTCATGATGGTGGACTCAGAATGATATGTTTGTGTTTTTGCTTTATAGAGAAACATTGATAGAGATCAAATCAAGGCTGCGATCAAAGCTCAACAGGACCACCAGATTGATAATGTAAGCATATTGATGGTTATAGAGCATGATCTGGATGAACATATGACTTGGAACACATTTTGAGTTTCTTCCATACATTTCATGATGATAGGCATTTCTAGCTGAGGGACGATTATTCTCAGATCTCGAGCTCACCGAAAAGGAAATGGAACGCATGGTGATGGAAATTTCTCGGGCTGAGTACACTGCTGACAAGTTAAAGCAGCAGCAGTTTGGTCGGAAAGTGGCTACTGCCGGTGCTGAACCATCATCTTCTGGTGCTAGTGAGTGTACTTTTCTTCCATAATATGGGAATTTCACCCTAAAAGAATGGAGATAATTTACAATGTGTGTGTATATAACTATAATTGATTGTTTTGAGAACGTCTCAACATGCAAATGGTTTGGGTTTCCTCTGTGTTTGATTGTAAAATGAGGATTTTGGATTTGTGGTTTTGACCAAGAGTTTGAACTACAAAAACAGGGCCTTCAGGGAGCGAAAGCAAGCTGGAAGGTGGGCGTCCCATCCCGGATAGTGTCCTCAACAGCAGCATGCAGGTGGGGCTGTCAATGGGGTTCAGCTATCTGCAGGTGATCGAGGCTTACAGCATATTTGGGGATGATGTTGATTCTATGGTTTGTTACCTGTTAGAGACTAGCAGTAGCGGTAGCAGTAGACGGAAAGGCAAGGCAACCGAATGAACGCATCCCAAAGATTGAGAAGGTGATTGAGATGGTGTTGGCTGCTTCTTGCTGGCAGTTATAGATTTATGAAACTGGAAGGTGTTGGAACCAAGTGTTATATTAATTTAAATTAGTGAAATGGCTGTGCTAGTTTATGTTTTAGGAATGCCTTTGTAAAGCATAAGGTGGAGCATTTGATATCTTATCCCATTGAGTCTGCTCAATGCAGAGATCAATTTTCTGGTGTGACATGGGAAGTTCTCTAGGAAATACTTCTCTGGCCAGAGGATTTTAGTCAACCTGTTATGAAAAAAAAACAGTTCTTAGTTATTTTGATGCCGAATATAATTAATAAAATCATATAACCCTTCTGGTTTGCAGAACAGTGTCTTTTGATATTTGAGTTTTAGGAAGTGGGAAAGCAATTTTGAGAGTTTAACTGTGAACTTCATTTTAGTTTGCGTTTGGCCGGACATAGGAATGCTTCTTTTTGGTGGGTTGACAGAAAATGACCGATGCCCGTTTAAGAATATGCCTGTTTTGCACTTAGGAAGAAAATACACTTTAAACACAGCAGCTGTTAAAATTCCCACCTACCATTTGGGTCTTCTCCCATCCGTGAAAATAATACTCCTCTCTTCTATGTTGGTTCTGTTCACCTGACTTTCCTCCTTCTGTGGTGGTCTTTGATATTTTGTTTGAGAGTCTGTTGTATGCTTTTTTCTTGTAACTTCTTAGCTACATCTGACGAAGTGATTTAGTTTTATGTATAACTAAGTCAGAGACGGGAGCCACTGATGTAATTTCTGTCTCGATAACACATAATAATAGCTAGTTATGAACCACGCATGAACATTTTCAAATAGTATAATTTGGAGAGCCACATGAAAACAATGTTAACTTCTCCTAGTCACTCTACTCGTAAATTTTAAGAGTGGTACTTGCCTACTACCCGTTTCTTTTCTCATCTGGTCAATTATTTGTGTCCTCAAGATTTGCAGCAATCTCTCTCTCATCTACGGCGCTATCCAACCAATTCGGCAGCAACTCAAGCAGGCAAGATGAGAATAATTGCCCAAATCAAAAATTTGATAAATAATTAAAAGGGTAAATTGCACTTACACCCCTTGAGGTTTAGGTAATGAACGGTCAATACACTTGTTTACATTGACACTATCTAAGGTTTCAAAAGTTTATATACACACCTCCTCTACCCAAGAAAATGACCATTTGACTTGGTCAACAAATAATAAATTACTAATATAACCTTGAAAACTAAGTTTTGAAGAATCAAAATAACCTTCAATTTTCAATCTCTCTCCAATCATGTACCCTCTATCACTACACCACCCACCATCGCTGCCCCCTTCATCCCTTAAGTCTATGTAACTATACACCACCCACCATCGCCGCCCCTTTAATCACATACCATCCCTGTCACCAAACACCACACACCATCGCAAACCAGATAAACCCACCATTACCATCGCCATCACCACCAATAATTAGAACCACCACCGCTACAACCACAGCCGCGCACAAGCACACACACCACCAAGACGAACCCACAACGACCACCGCCACAACCACACTATAACTCACAACCACCATCGCCACACCTATACACACCACCAAGCCGAACCCATTACAACTACCACCGTACCCATACACTACCAAGTCGAACCCAAGACAAACCCACCACAACCACCGCCATAATTGCACCCACACACACCCCCAAGCCGAACTCATTCTCGCTCAAGGTGGGACTCACCCAAATGCTTCAGCGGCGGAGCAAATTGTCGAAGTCACCAACTCCGATTAGGCCAAGATCGCCGAATCCAGCGCCGCCACAACACCTTAACGTCACTAGACAACACCACTGTCGCTTGATGCCATCGATTCTGGCAACTGGGTTGAGTGAACCTGTCGCGACGGTGGTTCATCAAAGGGTAACGACTTCTCTTCGACACGTTGGAGGGGTGTGGTTGCGGCGGTGGGTGTGGCGTTGTGTGGTTGCGAGTTGTTTATTGGTTGCGGCGGTGTGTGTGGCGGTGGTGGGTGTGAGGGATTATAGGGTTAGGGTTAAGGTTATTTTTGTCAATTAACAGGTTTAGGGGTAAATATGACTTTTGAAACCTCAGGGACGTTAATGTAAACTTATGCGTTGACCGTTCGCTGGTGGTGTGAGTGCAATTTATCCATAATTAAATTAAAAATTAGAATTAAGATAAGGATTTGAGAGTGCCAGAAGGTTTCCCGTCTTCACCAAGAAAAAACTAAAACCCAAATCAAAAATTTGATAAATAATTAAGAAACCCATCAAATTAAATTAAAAATTGGAATTTAGATAAGGATTTGAGAGTGCCTGGAAGGTTTCCCTTCCTCACCAATACAAAACCAAAACCCAAATCAGAAATTTGATAAATTTAAATTAAAAATTAGAATTTAGATCAGAATTTGAGAGTGCGAGGAAGGTTTCTCTTCTTGAGTACTGGTTGAGGTTAAGTACCATATGAAGAAGTGGTTAAGTACCAGATGAAGAAGTTAAATTAGATGTGTTCTCTTCCAATACAACTGGTTGCTGCTGTTGGTCAAACGATATGAGAGAGAACAGAGAGACTGATGAATTTGAGTTTTTATAAGGAGGAACTTTTTTGAACCCCAAAAACTTCAGCCGCCTCTTGATGGTTTTTTCTTGCTTTCGCCGGGGATGGCTTCACCTAGGACGGTATTTTGGGATTTTTATAAAAAAAAACTATTGGTTCACTTAATTAGGGGGGCAATTTGCACAAAAAAAAAAAAAAAAAAAAAAAAAAAAGGGAAGAAGAAAAAGAGTTGGAGGTTATTTGCACTTTTTGTATATAGTGGGGGTGTATTTTTGCACTTCTCATGTGTATTTTTGTATATAGTTGGTGGGGGTGTAAATATGTATGTAATGGTTTACGTTTTTTTTAGTTTGAGGGGAGAGAAGAAAGAGGGTTTGGGAATGGAGTGGCTGGTGGGCAACCGAGGTGTCCATGGATGGATAGCACCAACAGTTCCTTGAGAGATTAGGGAAGAGGGAATTCTTGAAACAAATGAGTTTGACGCGTTTTTATTTCTTTTTTTAATATTATACAATTAAGGACGTGTTCACTTTTACTGCGCCAAGTCACCCAGCAATAGAGGATTTCTATTATTTTCCGTATGGGGGTTAGTGTGAGGAGAGAGAGAGACAGGTGGGAAGCTTTCTTTCAGCATTTAACATTAAGGCTACGTTTTATGTGCAGGAATAAAATAAAATGTAACTTCGAATGGAATGAAAGTATTATTCCATTATTTGGTATGACACGGTGAATACCCTTTTCGATGGCTTACATTACTTTTTAATAAAAATCTAATTAATATTCAGACGATGAATTATGGAAATGACTTACTAATTTTTTTTAATAAAAATCTAATTAATATTCTGACGATGAATTATGGAATGTTATAAGATGCCCAATACTGTCATTGAAAAAAATAAAGAAAATCTTTAAAATAAAATAAAATATTATTTTTGACTCCAAATGATTGTTACTTTTTATTTTATATTATCATTGCTCCATATATAATTGTTCGAAGAGAGAAAGATGGAGAAATCACATAAATGTTTCAACAGAAAGATACGAAAAAAAAAAAAGAAGAAAAAGTTATATACTCAGAAGATAAAGAGATTAATATTTGCAATTTGGTTGAAGATTCTGCAACTTTTTATCAATGGCAGTGGGTATTTTCAGAAGAAAGGTGAAAGACCTTTATCATGTCTAATAAAGAAGTTGAAAAATGAAATGTGAAATATTTTTTTTGTCTATACGAAAGATTTTTGCCTTATTGGAATGTGATGAAGGGCTTATTAGGAATATTAGAAAAATATTTAATCTTACTATGAAATGAAATAGCCATTCCATAGCTTTAGTAATAGAATGAATTTTCATTCCAATGGAATGGCCATTCCATTCCATTCCTCCACACCAAACAAATGAATGGTTAGAATGGACATTCCATTTCATTTCATTCCCGCATATCAAACGTAACAGTATGTTTCAATCAAAGTCGAGGGGAGTTTTATGCACTGTTGGCACGATTGTATCTTATAACTATCCCGCTAGCATCGTTCTACATGAGAAGTGTCATTACATGTTATGACATACATGTAGTGTCAATGTTCTTTAAAAAGAAAAACATGTTGGACGTTTTGAGTTGTATTTGTCTTCAAGAACACAGCAGGGTACTGAACCCTACATTTCTTCCAAGCCGGCTCACTCAATTTTCTTTTTTCCCCTAATTTTTTCACTCAAATTTTAAAAACTCAAATTGATAAAACTTGAAAGTTTCTACCCTACCATATCAAAGTAGACTATCCAAATTACTACTTCCAACATAACATAAACCTTAAACGGGCGAAACCCACACCCACACGGGTTTTCACTCTTAAAACTGTTCCCGTTCAAAATCCTTAAACAATATCTCAAACCCGTTTTAAGCTGGTCGAGCGGAGTGAGACAATTGTTTTGTCAGCCGGCGTAAGCTATATGTGGAAACCACCAAGTAAGTTCATAAAGCTAAGTGATTGGAATTAAATTCTTTGCTGTTTTCTTAAGGTAGAATAAAAATGGAAAGTGTATTCTTTAAATTAAAATAGGTGACAAGGGAAGGGAATGGAATGTGACAAGGAACATGGCATTGCTACTACTCCTCATGATGTTGTTTTGCCTTCATCCCATTCATGCAACACCTTATCCTTCACAAAATTCCCAGGTTTCAGGTACATTTTTTGCTCCTTAATTGTTCTTTCATATTAATTTCTATGGATTCAATAGTTATTACATAATTAATATAAATCTATAAAATGAGTCTGCATTTTTTTTTTCATCTACTAATCAAGCAATCATCAAAGCCTTTACTTGATTGAGAATTCAAGAGGCATGAAAGTATTTTTACCTATCCGGGAAAAAAAAATGGCGTTTTCAAGCCACATTTGGATTTTGATAATTAATTTGATTATATTGTGAAGCAACATTTTGGCCTCATTGGCTATATAGAGACATAAGGATAGAGATATATGGACCAATCTGCCCTTTATTATTATTTATTTAATTCTCTTTTCCTTGCAAGAACCACATAGTTTTAGTACAAAAAAAAAAAAAAAAAAAAAAAAAAAAAAAAAAAGAACAAAACGTATCTCAATTTTGATTACTCAAGTATACAAACTAATAAAATCTAAACACCAACATAGTTTTATCGTGCATTAATCTAAATAATATACGTAAATTGTGTATTGCTATTTGTAATGACATCAGACAGACATCTCGTAAATATCATCAAATATAAGTGTAGTTAGTCGGGTGCCATCGAATTTACAAATTTTATGTATATCTTCTCTTCTGTCACAAAAAGTACTAGGGTTTCAAGTCTTCTTAGAGTATTGTGATTGGAAAAATATTTATATATCAATTATAAAAAAACATTAATACTGGTTCATTTTAGCACATAATTCATGTTTGGGGACATTTTGGGCTGATACCCTGCCTTAGAGGAAATGGAGTCATTATAAGTTTTCTATCCTTTTTTCTTCTTTTTCTTCTCCCTCTTCTCTTTTATTCCTCTTCTTTTCCTTTCCTCTCTCTCTCTCTCTTTTTTTTTTTTTTTTTACCTTTTTCTATTACTCTCCAACGGGCTGATACCCTTGCCTTAAAGAAAAATATTTATATATTAATTATAAAAAAAAAAACATTAATACTGGTTCATTTTACCACATAATTCATATTTGAGGACATTTTGGTTCCTCTGCCTTCAAAAAAATGGAGTAATTCTAATTTTTTGTCCTTCCTTTATTCTTGTTTGCCTCCCCCCCTTCTTTTTTCTCTTCCTCTTCTTTTCCTTTCCTCTCTCTCTTTTTCTTTTTCTTTTTCCTTTTTCTTTTACTCTCCAACTTTACCTTTCTTAATCTCCAGCCCATCTTTCCTCAAGCTACCTTGAATTTCAATCCATCAAGCTCCATTTCCGGTTTATTGATTAGAGACTATTCTCAGTTTTTTTTCGTTATTTCATATTAACTCATATTCTAAAATTTAAAAATTAAAATTAAGCTTAATTTTATAGATTTATTCTTGATGGTAGTAGAAAAAGGGGATGTTCATGGAGATGAAGATTTTATTTTATTTTATTTTATGAATTATAGGAAATTTAATATTAGTCGACAAAAATTGGCAAAGTAAAAATTTAAGTAATTCTACTACACCTGTTTCGAAAATAAATTCTTAAGTTAATTGTAGTTTTATAATTAAGACCTTTTAATTAAAAAATATAAAAATATTTATATATATATTTACCCTTTTATTTTAAAAATAAAAAAATGAAGGAGCTAATTCGGGTTAGGCTTTCTGGGTTGGGCCAAGCTAGGACCGAACCTGAAGCCGCTATTTATATGCCAAGCCCGATCTTGGCCCAGTCCACCAAGTATAGAGTGATGCAATCCTATAATTGACACTAATTAATGATTCAACATGGTGTTGCTTTTCTAGACTTCAATCAAAGCCATATTTTTGGAGACGAAGGAAAGATGGAGCAACTGTCTTCAACTAAACTTGAAGTGAGACAAGAGATAACAACAGTTCAAAGACGTGGCGGCGGCGGTGGAGGTGGCCATGGCGGCGGCGGTGGCCATGGTGGTGGTCACGGTATCAGTGGGAGAGGATCACAAGGCGATGAGACGCATTCAGGGCATGGGAATGCAGCTTTGATTCCCTTGTATACTGCTGGTGCAATGAACCACCACCGTATCAATAACAACCACCACCACCATGGTGCTAACAGTGCCACTCTCAACAGCAGTGGTTGGGCCTACTTGTTCTGTGTTGTCTTGGCCTCACTTTTCCTACTCTCTTCTACATAGTAAAATTTTCAAACACTGGATTGCATCACTCTCTACTTTTGGATGTGTAAGATATTTAAACTATCTGATTTTATTGTTTGTATGTATGGCTTTGCATTAATCATTTGTTTTTAGATGGTACAGAAATTTATTGACCTCTCATATTTTTCATTTTGTATTTATAATTTATACATTGTCTAATAATTTTCTCTTGCCTATTAGTATTGTGTTAGAGGGTGGTCATGTTATACATATCCGAATGGGGAAGGAATTGAGTATATGAATGGGTTATACAATATTATCCAATAATTTAAGTTTTTGGGTTAGAGGGTAAGCGTCCAGCTTGTTAAGTTGGTATTAAAGTCGGACATCTAATGTCACGCCAAGCATCCGACTTGAAGGTGTCTAGGTTTTGCCTCGAATAGTTAAGGTGGTCCGATCGCAACGAGAGCGTTACAAGTTCAGGTGGGAAAGGTGTTCAGGTCCCAATCTTATCTTGAGTAGGCAAAGTGGTCTAACTACAAGAGGGCGTTGCGAGTTGTCCCATATCAAATCTGAATGGGGAAGAAATTGAACGCTGTTAATTCTTAGTGAAATCACAATGATATATTCTTTCCATTAATGTAAAATGTTAACCTAAGCAATTTAGCCTCAAAAAAAGCTGGTTAGACATTCGCTCAATCGACACAAAGTACACATGTTACATTTGCCATTTCACATGTAAGTTAAGAATGACTGATATCCAAATCAAACATGGTTGATGAAACTGAAAACAAACGTAGTTGCAGATTTCTGAAAGCAGTGTATGGGCGTGTAATGCCATGGAAATGTCAGCAACAAGATCAAAAAATAAACCAAAAACACAAAAAACCGCATGAACAAGTCAGAAATCTTGCAACTTCAAAATCAAACAGATGGCGGCATAGTCGGCTTGTTATACACAATCGGTCAGGCCCCAAACACTGTTGACCTTCACCGCCAGGCTTCAATCCGCTCTGGCCTCGAATTTATTCGGCTCAAATTGCTAACTTCCTTGCTCTTCTCTACAGGTCCCAGTACCTGAAATAAGGGTTGCTGCCCATTAATTTTTCCAGGGCCCTTGTCAACATTAGAATCACTTGATTGGCCAATTTTGCCCGCATGGGTTTTTTCCCGGACTTGGTTCTTTGGACCATTAGTCACACCTGCTTCGGTTTCATTCTTGTAAGTGTTAACTGGATTAGGGGAGACACAACCTCCACAAGGTTCCTCGATAGAAGTTGAATCACTATAAGCTTCTCCATCAGTCATGTCATCAAGGTCATTAGAGTCAGAAGCACTTCCTGAAATGGGTTCTTCAGCAGCGAAGGCCAAGTCCGTTCCTTCTTTTTCTTGCACAGTATCTTCCACACATGGCTGTGGTGGACTCTCGTGTCCATTCCCATCAGAAGGCTCTAGGCTGGAAATAGGAGCTGGTTCTACAACTGAATCTTCTCTTCCCCGTAGTGTCTTCACAATAAGGGTCTTGAGGAAGTTCATCACTTGGACCGCATACATCAATGCAGTCAATGGATCAGACATCTGCAACCAAAAAAAGAAGAAAGAAAGAAGGCTGTCATTAAACCAACAATTGGCAGATCATCAGCAATGAGCAGAGCATATGGCTGAAAAAATTGAAAAGCCATTTCACAAATTTAGTTTCTAACATCTCATTCATTATATTTTGTTTAAAGTAAATTATATGCCAGCTGCATTATGCATGTCTCAACATCCATATTTTGTCATTAACACTCTGGGAACTTTAAGAATACTTAAGATGCCTATCATATTGGTATAAGTAAAATCTCGATTCTTCTTTACAATCTCCTTTTTCTTATTAAAAAAATAAATATTTATCAATAAGAAATATATATACATATATATGGTAGAGCTACAGTTTCTACAGAAAAGCCCTTTCCTATTCCGTGTTTCAGAAGGAATCTTCAGCCAGAAAATAACTAGGCAAGGGGTGCCTTGGATGACCACACAAAATATTGAATCCATTCATTGCATTTTACATGAAACTTAACTCAGGATGCTGTAAAAAATGCAAAATCACCTTACCAACTAGAATAAGAAGACATTAGGTTACTCATTCGAACCTACTTGCCTGTATTCAAGAGAAGTGTTAAAACTACGTAGGCCTGTTTAAATACAATGAAAATTCAAGGTCTCAATTAGAAAACCTATATAGCACACATTGCACTCCATTTCCCATGGGATATTGGACCATAATTGCTTAATGAATAAGAGAGAAGTACAGATATTTAGAAGGGTATGTCTTGCGTCTTAACGCCAAAAAAATATATGCAAACTCACCTGTGTCATATTTGGTGCAAACACCATAGCAATGTTGCGTGCATTCATCTTGTTCAGGTGTTCCTGTTGGGCAACATCAGCCATCAGGTTTATTGCCCAATCCAATAGAGCAGCTTCTGCCGGGGGTAAGAGCCTCACAAGCGCAGTACAATCATCTTCTGACTGGCACTGCATTACCTGCTCAGATGATAGAGAATCCAATACCCCAGTTGGGAGTTCTCTGAACCAGGCCTGCAGAATCAAATATCGTAACTTTTTTTTTTTTTGATAAGTAGAATCAAATATCATAACTTAGATCAAATATAACTTAGAAGCAAACAAATAGAATCCCTATCCACCATCAGATTGAAAAATATTATGTAGATCTGCAAATATAACTCAGAGCAAATATTGCTTCATTAGGCTACATGAAAAAGATAGGTATTCCTTGATTTGGCCATTACTCAATAAGGCTTTTCTAGAAGGGAAAAAGAAAAGAGGAAGGATCTTGCGTCCTTTCCTCCCACTTGTGGGAGGAAGGGACATGGTGCTCATGGGGAAATAAGTTTCTCTCTATATTCCCTTCACTCCACTCCTCTACCTTCCTTAAATTTTCCCTCTCTACCAAACAGGCTGTGTTTTTTCTTTCTTGTGTAAGAAAAAGGTTTTAGTTGAAAGAAAGAAATTTATGACAAGATGCCTAAGCTCAGCCTCAAACATATTGAAGCCCCAACATCCACCAGTCCATTAGTTTCTAGGAAGTCTGAAAATGATTAAGCAGAATATAATTATACATAAATAAATGGTTGTTATTATCACTAATTATCTATTGGTAACTTGAGCGGTCAGGATGCAATTTCAGATCCCCCAATATTCACCAGTTTATTGATTTCCAGAAAGTCTGGAAACAAATAAGCAGGCCTTTACCATTATCCACATTGGAATTGAGGTTTGGTTGCTATTAAAAACTAAAAATAAATTAGCATGTCAAGCCCATGATTTTAATCTAACAGGATCATTGTGCCAACTCAAGGAGTGAAAGCTAAGTTCTGGTTACGATTATCCATAGCAGAGGTTAAAAAGGGAGCCCATTTGGAGTGGGTAATGATTGAAGGCGCATGAAACTTCTCTTTTTGTTAGGTTAATAGGACTTGGGTTGGAAAATTTTGTGGAACAAAACTGCAGTCTGTAACTTTTCTTTGATTTACTAGCTTAGATGAGTGTTAGCTGATATATGATAGCCTAGAATCAAGGATGTGACTTACCATATTAGCCGAGATCCGATAACCTAGAATCATGGAATTTCTCTTTATTTAGGCATATATTTTGGCATAGAATATGCAGTGATATTCAGTTTCCTTTCTTGTAATATTTACATGTGCTCTTTTTAGTGTTTATATACCAGAGATGTGAATGAATGTGAATCCTCATTCAAGCTTTTACATATTCTGATTCTCCTTCAAGCCTTCACATATTTCTCTTGTATTTTTCTTGGTATTAGAGCCATACCCAGTCCTTGATTCAGTGTCACGCCAAGCGCCCATCCGGGAGGTGTCAGATAGGCAAGGTGGTCCGACCACAAGGAGGGCATTGCGAGTTCTGGTAGGGGGAGAATGTTAGAAGTTCTTGTTTCACATCGGATCCGGATGGGGAAGGTCAGAGGGCAAGTGCCCTAAAAAAAAGTTTGTATTTGGATTTTCGGAAATGGTATGAGGAGACATTGTAGATTATTCCATCTACATATTTTAAACATGTGTACGAAGGGGAATGGTCTGAGGAGAACATGTTGATTGTTTATGGTGTGAGGAGATATTGTTGATTGTTTATGGTCTAAGGAGATATTGTTGATTCCTCCATCTACATATTTTAAATATGTGTATGGAGGGCTCTGATATGAGGAGACATTATTGCTTGTTTATGGCCTAAGGAGACATTGTTGATAATTTATGGTCATAGGAGACCCAAGCTGACTCAGAAAAGACATATCTACAGGGTTTTGGAGATAACGACATGGTAATGTCTTCGCTAGCAATTCAATGCAACCAAATATAATCGTTGGCTATATGTATATAAAGACTGTGTTTGAGAATGCATTGTCCAAGTTGAGCATCTCAGATATTCACGCACCAACTTGAGGGGAAGTGTTAGTCGAAATATGATAGCCTAAAAGCATGGATGTAACTTACCATATTAGCCGAGATATGATAACCTAAAATCATGGAATTTGTCTTTATTTAGGCATATATTTTGGAATAGAATATGCAATGATTTTATTCAGTTTTCTTTTTTGTAATATTTTCATGTTCTCTATAGTGGTAGGCTTACGTGGGATGTGCGTTTTCGGCTTTCCTTTTACGATTGAGAGCTAGATGATGTTTTTGGCCTGCTGGATCTTTTGTATAGACAGGAGGTGGATGGTAGAGGGTCTGATTCCTTGGTTTGGGTGAATTCTCCTAAGGGAAGTTTGAGGTCCGTTCTTTGTTCCTCTACCTTGCCGAGTTTCATGATTCCAATTTCCCATAGAAGATGGTGTGGGGTTCAAAGGCTCCTCTCAGAGTGGCCTTTTTTGTTTGGACTATAGTTTGGGACAAGATTTTGACCTTGGACAATTTAAGGAAGAGAAGATAGATCACAATCAACTGGTATTGTTTGTATAAAAATGATGGAAAGTCTGTAGATCACCTTTTTTTGCATTGCCCTGTGGCTTATGCCTGTTGGTGTCTTATTTTTGATTTGTTCGGCGTTCTGTGGGTCATGCCTCAGTCCTCGAGGGATTTGATTAACTGATGGAAAGGCTTCAGTGTGAGGGCCCACGCCCGGGATTTTTGGAGGGCGTCTCCCCTTTGTGTTTGGTGGTGTATTTGGAAGGAGCGGAATAAAAGATCTTTTGATGTGGAGGAATCGTCCATTGGGGTGCTGAAATTTTCTATTATTAGTTCCTTTTTTTAGTTAGGTGATGGGGAGAAATTGAATATCTTTAGATGAAATCATGGATTTTTTTTGGGTTCCTTGGGTCCCTAGGTCCTTTCTTGGTATAGTTTTCTGGATGCGTTCCTCTTTTGAACACTCTAATATACTCTTTATTTATCAAAAAAAAAAATGTTCTCTTTTTAGTATATATATACCAGAGCTGTGAATCCTCATTCAAGCCTTTACGTATTCTGATTCTCATTCAAGCCTTTACATATTTCTTTTGTATTTCTTCTATCTTTTTTTCCTTCTATTAGAAATTTCAAAAGTAAGTTGGTGTTAGTTGTTACCTCTTGCTCAAGGTTGAAGAAGGAATTTGAAGCAACACACAGGGTAAATGCATAATCTTGTACACCAAGGGCCACTAGAGTTGCGTTGCTACAATTGACCAACTCTTCAATTGATCGAGCCCTACAAAATTGCAATTTCCTTTTTTATTTAAAACAGTACAAACCCCACCCTCTATTTATTTCTATTTTGTGTGTGTGTGTGTGTATATATAAATATGAGAATATTTATGAGAATACAATATACCTAAAACAATCGTGAGTTCCAGAGTGCATTTTACTCTTCTTTGCATTCATCATTTTTAAAATTGGTTAGTGTTTTATTGTATGTTGGCATCTACCGCTGCAAACTTCACCTAAAGACCTCAGCGCCATAATCAAGCCCTAATCAATCCATTATTGAGATTGAATTGGACAACTAGTGGTTAAAGACTGGATCACTGGTGGAGAAGCAAATTAATGAAGAGCAAAGCCTGTTGATGAGAGGATCGTGTGGCTGGAGACTTGAGAGGAGAGTTTAGTGGATCAAAAAATCCTTCATTCTTGTTTATATTGAACAATGCCCTTTTAGATAGGATAAAGCAACATAGAATAATAATATATTTCAGTGGCACAATGACATCATGGTACATGTCCAAAGACAGCCACTTCTTGCAAATATAGGTCGGAAGCTATATCCATACTTAATTTAACCAAAAACTTTGGAAAATATCATAATAGGAGTGATTAAATCCCTTAAATAACTCCTTGACAGAATATTGATACGAGTGAATCATGGGAGTAATTTTAGAATATTGATAATACCTTGACGTATACATAGTCTATTTGAGAAATCATTGAACGCATATTTTATTGCCCTTATTCCTAAGAAGGGCGGCGCCTTTGATATTAAGGACTTTCGGCCATCTAGCTTAGTGGGATGCATATATAAGCTTATTGCCAAGGTTCTTATTTTTAGGATGAGTAATGTTTTGGATGGAATTATTTCAGAGTTACAGAATGCTTTTGTTGGAGGACAGCAGATCTTGGATTCTGTTCTTATCGCAGGGGAATGTGTTGACTCTAGGTTGAAGAGTGGGGTTTATGGAGTCTTATGCAAACTTGATATCGAGAAGGCCTATGACCACGTTAATTGGAAGTTTCTTCTTTACTTGCTTCGGAGGATGGGGTTCGGAGATAGGTGGATAAAATGGATTGAAACTTGAATCTCGTCCGTTATGTTCTCTGTGCTCGCGAACGGTTCTCCTGCTGGCTTTTTTGCGAGCTCGCGAGGTTTGAGACAAGGAGACCCATTATCGTCTTTTTTATTCCTTATTTTCATGGAGGGATTGAGCAGATTAATGAGAAGAGCGGAAGGTTTGGGTTACATCAGGGGATTCAGAGTCGGCAGAGATGTTGTACATCAGATGGAGATCTCCCATTTGTTATTCGGGGATGATACCTTGGTTTTTGTGATGCCGATGTCTCCCAACTCAGATATCTAAGGTGCATTCTTGTTTGTTTTCAAGCAGTTTCCGGGCTTAAGATCAATGTTGGAAAGAGTGTGCTTGTCCTAGTGGGGGATGTTTAAGATATTTCCTCCTTAACTGCAGTTCTTGGGTCTAGGCGTTTTTCCTCTTCCTTATTTAGGACTACCCTTGGGAGTTTCCTCTACGAGAGTGGGGAATTGGGACCCGGTGATTAATAGGTATGAGAAGAGATTGGCAGGATGGAAAAAATAGTATCTTTCGAAAGGGGGGAAGGTCACTCTTATTAAGAGTACTCTCTCGTCCCTTCCTACCTACTTTTTATCTTTGTTTCAAATTCCATGCTCCGTTGCTGAAAGGATTGAAAAAATTCAAAGGAACTTTCTATGGGGTGGAAGAGGAGAGGAGTTTAAGTATCATCTTGTTAATTGGGAGCAAGTTTGTAAACCTTTGAAATTAGGCGGTTTAGGCATTCGAAAGCTGGTTCCTTTTAATAGAGCTTTATTGGGAAAGTGATTATGGAGATTTG